AGTGTTTCCATGTTCTCATCCCTGGGTAGCCTAAATTATGTATCACCTTGCACCCTGGTGAGCAACAATGGAAAGGTAACATTGCGATGCTACTCTAAAGGTTAACATTGTTAAGAACCTGGTAAAAAGAATACTGTGGCACATTTTGTCTTTTAAAAATAGGCAGGGTGTGGTGGTTCACTTTATAATCCCAGCTACTCAGGAATCAGAGGCAGAAGGATCCCCATGCAAGGCCAACCCAGACAAAAGTTAGTGAGACCCTATCTGCAAAACATACTAAAAGCGAAAAGGGGCTGGGGGCATGGCTCAAGTGACAGAGTGTTTGCCTAGCAAGCATGAGCCCCTGAGTTCAAACTTTAATATTGAGAAAAAAAAACAAAACAAAACACCACTCCTCAAAAATAGACTGTACTGATTATACAGATTCTGGTCAATCAGTTTCTAAATAAGACTTGGAACTCTAAATCACACGTTGAGGACTCTTGGGAACATTTATTTCAAGGTAGATGCAGGCCCAGGGAGAGACTCAACCCCAGGCACAGAGCCAGCAAGGGACTGAGCCAGGACGGATACCCTGGTCTCCATTGTCTGGACCCTTCTCACCTATACCAGAATGGCTATTGCCCTAACAGGACCCAGAAGCCTTTGTGCTCACTCTTCTCTTGGCCCAGGAAATGGATCCCACCACCAAACTGGAAAGCTCCTACTCATCCTTCTGGTCTCTGCCTGGATGTCACACCCTCCAAGAAGTTTTCCTTGACTTCCTCAGAGGCTGCGGTGGACATTGCTCCTTCCACTCTCCCTCACACCTACCCCTTCCCATACAGGGTCCTAAGTGCACATGGTGTGGTCTACCCACCAGACAGCAAGCTCTGGGCTCAGGCTGCTTCATGTGCCCATGCTGAAGCTAACCTGTCATTCCCTGATTCATTTGCTCAAGAAATAGCTTTGTTCCAAGGAGAAAATGCTAGGGTTGGATAATGAAAGAGGCAAGAGAGCTTCCAACAAGCACTAGGGGCCTCGGCATTCCACTCACAGCTCTAATGGGCAGCAATGGACCCCACACACACACTGGGATGCTCCACGTGTGGACCACTACTAAGTGCACTCCCCCAGGCTCCTCAGCTAGTCTCACAGCATCACTTCAATCAGGCAGCCCAGACCCCAGGATACACAGTGAGGTCTTTGGCCTCCTATGCCTTCAAATGCCTACACCAGTCAGACATGAGGTGACTGTCAGTCATGACAGAGGGAAAAAGGATGCCCGCGAACGAGGAGACTTGGAGGTGCAGTCCCAATCTCACTGTAGGTTAGCTGTGTGGCTTGGGGAATTCAGCTAACCACTCTGATCCTCAGTTACTTCATCTGAAAAATGGGCCTGGTTAACACCTGTCCTCCACTACTAGGTGGCCTTATTTTCTTCACCCAAACATATACCCTGTGGTTGGACAAGTCTAATCTCACAAGAAAACAGAAGAGAAAACGTGAACCTGGAGTCCTCAGGGCCGTGATGGGGGGCACAGGAAGGGCAGGGTTAGCTCATTCAAGAGCCTCCATGCACAGGACCTCTGTGTGGGTAAGGCTGGACCAGGCCTGAGCTGGATGGCCCTCACGGTAGGAGAATACTGGGGTTTACAAGCTCTTTATGTCCTTACCATGAAAACTTCCAGAACCCTTGCCATGCAGGAAGATAGTCTCAAAAAGGGGAAGTGATGTGCCCAAGGTCACTCACCTAAGTCAGAATTACAGCCAACCTCTAGACACCAAACCCTATACTGCCTCCCTACAAGTGATCATCCAAAGCCAGCAACCAGGGTTCTGGAGGCAGGATTGAGCTCAACATAGGTCATCCATCTTCCCAAGTAGCATCACACAGGTGAGGAATTTAGGGAAGTAGTTTCAACAGATTAGTCAAGGTGTCACCACAGATATGTGAAGCCAGTACTGTCCCAAAGGGAGCCGTGGGTCAGACCCCCTGCACAGCCCCACCTCCACCTGGAGCTCAGGAGCAATGTGTACTGAGACACCTCACAAAGCTAGAAGCCCTGACCAGCCCAACCTGGAAGCCCCTATCCTCTGTCAACGACTAGGTCATCCACAGCCTCTCACACAAGCCAGTCAAATCCTCCAGACCCCAGAACAGAAATCCCCCACTGCTGAGGGAACTTGGCACTGCCCTCCATCCCCAACCACTTTCAGGCTGGGTTCCTAGAACAAGACTGCTGGTCTCACTATCATCCAACCCCTCATTCTACAACTGAGGCAACTGAGGCCCACAGGGTGACAAAGACTCATGCCCCTCCCTACATAGCCCGCCAGCTGCAGGTCCAGAACCCGTACCTCTGTCCTTTCTCCCCTCTCACCACCCCACCAATGATGTGACTGGGCAGAAACAAAACAAGGGGGTGTACTCCCTGAGATGGGTAGGAGAGAGTACTGGAAAGCCAGCTGCCCTGAGTGGGTCCCTCAAGGCTGCCAAGCAGAGAGAGGGTTTCAAGAATTCAGATCACTGGATCACTTAACAAACAAGGCTCATCCTGCTCTTCTGCATCCTACCACCTTTGGGAATCATCCCATCGATTCATTCAACAAATACTGGTCCTACTAAGCACCTCACATTTCTCAGCCTCCTCCTTTCTTCCACCCTCAGCTCCTCCCCCTTCCCCACATACCCAGTGGACCCTTTGGAGGGCAAATCTTGGGGTCACTGGGGAGTGACCCTGTCCAGAGCAGCAGACTGCCCAGCTGGCAGGCACGCATACCAGTCCCAGGGTTACCTGGTGTGGCCAAGGCAGTCCAGGTCGAGTCTCTCCAGCAGAGGCAGTGGAGGTTCTGACACGGCCAAGGGGCTCACCAACCCCTCCCCCACCTTGGGCCTCCACCCAGCAGGGCTGCATGGAAAACCCAGCCCGGCTCAGCTGACTTCCTCTTGTGTCATGGAAAGTGTGGTGATGGGGACAGGAAGTCAGGGATCTGGGGTCTGAACTGGGGACAAGGCCTGAGGGTGCAATGGGGTGGGGGTGTAATGGGGCAGGGTTGCCACCAGGTAACTAATGGGGGGCAAAAGGAGACAGAGGAGGAAGCCTCTGTGGCAGGAGCTGGGGAGGAGCAGTTACCCGCAAGCTCCCACACTGCTGTCCCCCGGCATGTACCCAGCATTGGCAGGGAGGCAGCAACCTAAGACCCACAGATACTTTCAGTTTTCCAAACACAAAGTATCAAACACAAGAACAGCAGAACCCATACCCTTGCCTGGGATGGTGAAGAATTTGAACTCAAATAAGTCAACATTTTTGGTTTGTTCTTTGCTTTTGGTGATGAGGTGAGTGGATCAAGTGCGAAAAAAAAAAAAAAAACGTAGATTCAAATCTGCTGGAGCCAAGTTTGTTATCGTAGGAATCCCAGTTTGCCCATCTGTGAAATGGGACACAGCACCCATTTCCTGTGGTTGGGGTTATTAAAGGAGGTGATGCCCCAGGCTCAGATCTGATCAGTGCTCAGTGCAATCAGCTGCAATTATGTGAACTGAGTGCGGGAATTGGGAATTGGGGGCATGCAGGGTTACTTAATACACAGCTTCTGTGCCCAATAAACACCAAGTCATGAAGAGAAAAGTAATCAAGTAATCCAGATGGATCCATGGAGTGTAAGCAGAGGAGGGATGTGTCTCTTCCCTTCATGTCTGCATCCTTGGCGCTTAGCAGGGAGCAAATATTTGTTGAATGAATGAACGCATGAATGAATGAACAGATAAGAGGCTGGGACTTCCAGAATCGTGGGACTAGGAAGGATGATGCGGTCAGGAACACAGAACAGGCCAGGCCTGGCCACGAAGCCTGTGGGCCTCCCCATCCTGCTGAGGCAGTGCTACCCCTGTCTGAGTGGTGGGTGTGGACCCTGTCACAGCCACCATAGGAATCCTCATTCCTTGGCTTTGACTTCTCCTGCTGCTAAACAGGCTCCGGCACCCCAAACCCCTTCAGACTTGAGTTAGCAGAAAGCAAATGGGAAGTGTTGGATGCTGGGGAGCACAGTGGGTGCGTTACTGTAGCAACCTCACCAGCCAGGAGGGAGGGACCCCTGCTGTTGGAAATGGGGGGCTGACTGAGAGACCAGGCTCAAACACTGAGCACTCCAGTACCATGTCCTGGCACTGCTTCACACCTGTCTGGGATGGCCCAGATTGAGGGACCTGGAGAACTGGACCTGCCTTGGCAGGAGGGAAGAGCCCTTCCCCTGCCCCTGGTTCCTCTCTAGTGGACAGAACCCAGAGACCCCCTTCTCCGCAGGCCACAGCTTGAGTCTAACCCCTCCAAGAGCAATGTCTACATGGAGCTCATACAAATATACTCCAAAATGGAGATTATACAGGCCAATATATAGACTCTCTGTAACACACACATACATCTGCAAGGCCATTTTCCATGAGATCTCCACTGTGCCTGTAATTCCTATTAAAAGGTCACCCCTGGGGTTCACTTCAGACTCCTAACCACAGTCCCACCAAGGGGCAATGAGGCTTCCACTTGGTTTGGAGCCTGCAGTTTCTGCTTGGCTGGTACAGCAAGAACTGATGTCCTGTGCTTCCCTGCCCCCCACTTCAACCTCTCACACCTCAGCACAGCTCAGAGGCCTCTGGGTGGGACAGGACCCATGTCCTCACCCTGTCCACCACTGCACCCTCAGGCCTGCTCTCACCTAGAGCAAGGCCTCTTCCTTCTGTAGCACCCATCTCATGGTCCCTGTTCTACAGCCCCATCCCACTAGGACGCCTGACTCTGTTCGAGGGTTGCAGGGCACTGTCCCAATCTTGAGCACCTAGGCCAGGAAGCTTACATAGGCCAAGGCCGCCATTCAAACTGGGGCAGGTGGTTTTGCCAGGAAGAAGTTGACAGTTCAACTTCAAACACAAGTGACGCAGGCCCCACACAGCTTGCTTCCCTGTCCCACCCCTGCCTGCGCCTGCCTACCCCGCCCCCTCCCTCCCTGAGAATGAGACACCAGGCGGGCCAGACACCCTCACCCACGGGTGCTGCGCTTGCAAGGCTGAGGCAGGAGAAGGCCGCACCCATGGGCTCTCAGCAAGCTCCACTGACCGCTCTGTACCTGCTGGGGATGCTGGGTGAGTACCTCAGTTTTGTCAGGGTACCTGGGTGTGAGGGGGTGCAAGGAAGAGGTCACTGTTCTCCCCAGATCTGACACTGGGGCCTGAGTGTCATGTTGTCTCCATAGTGTTGTGAAGGTCTGTTCCTCCACCCCTAGCTCAGCCCTGCTAAACTCTGCCATCTCACCACACACACACACACACACACACACACACACACACCCCTGCTCGGCTTTCCTCTGTGCTGCCAAGGACTTACTCTACCCTTCCCCAGTCAGACTCAGCCTGGGAGTCAGGTCACCTAGCCCTGTCCTATGCAGCCCCTCTGCAGTGTTTCCCCATGAGTGCCCAGCCTTTACTCACTCACCTGAGTGAAACAAGTCATTTCCTGAGGGAGCTCTGCTCTAAGTAGTGTGGCCCAAGGCAGAGATGACCCCTCTGAGGACACAGCTGAACAGTGCCAAGCACACCTCGCCCAATTTCTCTCATACGCAGCCCTGGGTCACGCCCGGAGGGGATGCTGGCAGTGGATCCAGCTCCAGGCCCAGGACTCTGCAGCTGGGCAGGCACTGACATGGGCCAATGCTGAAAATCACAGGCAAGCCAGAAGGCAAGTGCGTGCTAGACCTGGAGACCTGAGCCTAGATTCTAAACCCTACCATATGTGACATCAAAGGGTTCCTGAGCCTCTCCAGGCCTTGGTCTCCCCATCTACAGCCTGTAGGGAGTAGGGCCAGGGACTGGATGGGATCTGACTGTTTCTGGAGGCCTTGAGGGTGTAACAGAACAAGAGATGCTGGACTCAGGCACACACAGGAAGGAGTCACGGCATCCCACTTTGCAGGGAAAGGGCTGGGGCCTGTGGTCTTAGCAAGGAGGACCTCAGTTTGTGCCTAAGGCAGCTGGTGTGTAGTGGGAGTGTGGGAGTGTGTGTGTGTGTAAATCTGCATAAGAATTGTGTGTGCACCTTCCTGTGCTCGTGTGCACACGTGCTTGCATGACCTTTGTACAGCAAAAGATTCAAAATGCCTCTGTCCCAATGTCAGCAGTCTAGAGACAGACCCCTGCTTGCCTTCCCTAACACAGCTGTTGTCGCCTCTGGTCCTATGGATACCTGGGAGCAGGCACTTAGCCTCCACCTATCCCCTACCTGTGGCCTCAGATCCCACCTGACAGGTAGGCCTGGCCCAGCCAAGCTCCCAGCTGGGTGTAGAGGGGGTCCTGCTCTTCAGCCCATCCTTCCTGAAGCCCATCACAGAGGGAGGCTCCTGGCAGATTCCCTAGCCCCTTGTAACCCAGAGTCCAGAAGACTTGGGAACAGTGCCTTCACCGCCCCCTCTCCCCCCATTGGAACCATCTGGAACCTCAGGAGCACATGGTTCATCGGCAGTAGTGGATAATAAGCACTTCCCTGGTCCAGGGGGTCACAGCTCACAAAGTACTCTTAAGGCCATTTTCTTCCGTGAGCTTCACAACGGCATAGGAAATAGGTGGGCCCATCATCCCTATTTTACATGAGGAAAACTGGGGCCCAGAAAAGGCAAGTGGCAAGCCCAGGGAGGAGCAGCTAGTCAGCAGCAGAGCTGAGTCCAGCACTCCTGCCCTCATGGAGCCCTTCTCTGTCCCTTTAGCTAAGAGCAAAGGCCCCCAAAGCTGTTCCCATGTGTTGGAGAACAGCTGCAGAACAACAGCCTCCATTAGTAGATATGCAGCCATGGAGGGTGTAGGTGCCCAGGGCCAGGGCCTGCTCTGGGAACCAACAGCACAAGTACCCTGGAGCCATTACAAGAAGAGATATATCAGTGCCAGAGCCCTGGTGACACCACAGTCTCTGCTGGCATCAGAGCTGGAGGACCTTTGGGCCCAGGTGTTATGACTTACTGCTTGGGGCAAGAGTGGCAAGCCAGGGCTCCACACAGTCATCAGAGCCCGCCTGGGCCTCCCCGGCCGGGGTGCGGTGGGGAGGCAGCTCAGACTACCACCAGGGAAGCTCCAGAACCGGTGTGAATTCCACTGTGCCATTTGCCGCTGGCTGCCCTTGGGCTAGTTCTGTAAGCCTCAGTTTCCTCGTCTGTAAATTGAAAATAACAGCTCTTCATAGAGATTTATGAGGATTAAATGAATCAATGCATGTCTGGTTTTACTACCATGCCTGGCACATAGTAAAGTACTTAATAAACGTTAATAATAACAACTGTAATTATTATTACCAGTGTCAGCAAGAAGCAAGGTGAGGTAGGATGGCATGGGAAAGAGTTTTCCAGACACACGCCTTGCTGTCAATCTTGTCCCCCAGGCCTCTCGCACAGGCTGTTCATTTATCCATTCATTCATCTACAAATATAGCTCTGTGCACAGCAACAGAGAGGCAGCAGTGACCAGGGTAGGTGTCCCTGCCTCATGGTCTGCCAGGCTTCCAGAGGAGACTCAATAAAGGACAGACAGAATCACACATCTGAAATACATAGTTGGAAACACAGCGAGTGCAACACAGGAATCAACAGCAATGAACACTCTGAGGACCGTCTCAGCTGGGAGACCTTTGGGTCTCCCAAAGGAGGGTGAGACCCAAGGGATGAGAATAGCCAGCCAGAGAGAAGAGGGAAGAGGGTGCCAGGCATATGGGACCTCAAGGGTGAAGGCCATGGAGACGGGTAAGCAAGAGAGCTGAGTGTCTGCCGCAAAGGAGGGGTGGGATCTCCAACTGGAGGCAGGCACCAGCCACTGTCCCAGGCCACAGGGCTGAGGCCCCGCAACCCACAGTGGGAAGTGGAGGTCTTGGAGGCAAAGGAGCTGGCACAAAGGAAGTTTGGGTGGCTTCACTGGTGGAGCCTGGTCAGAGGAGTTTCCCTACATTGACCAGGGAGTGAATTCAACTTGATCTGACAAAACTGAGTGAACATCTATTCTATGTGCATGGATGTACATGTTGTAAGCACATGGGTGCTATGTGCACACGCATGTGAGTGCAGCCCTGTGCAGGGGGGCTTTGTAGCAATGCAGATAGAATTTGATTTCTGTTTGGCCACCCAAAGTGACAAGAACCACTCAAGTCGCAGCCTTCTCTGCTATAAAAAACATGAGCTGAGCTGGGCAACGTGGTATGTGCCTGTAATCCCAGCACTTAGGAGGTAGAAGCAGAAGAATCAGGAGTTTGAGGCCAGCCTGCTTTACAAAGTCAGTTGGAGGCCACCTTGGACTACATAGTGAGTTTGAGGCCAGTCTGGGCTACATAAGTGAATTTGAGACCAGCTTGGGTTACATAGTGAGTTCAAGGCTAGCCTGGGCTATATAGCAGGTCCTGTCTCAAAAGTAAATAAATAATCAGGGGACCCATAACTGCTCCTACCTCAGAGGAGAATGGCAATAATTACAGTGGATTCATTCAGAGAGAGCAAGTATTAATTAGGTACCTGCTCTGACAGACAGAGAACAAGACAGACAAGACCCCTGTGCTGGGGGATCTGACATAGTGGCCGGGGTGCAATGAGGAAACAGAAGAGACAAAATCAGCTAGGGAGTCATGGATGCTAGACGGTCACACATGTTGCGGGAGCAGATAGATGAAGGCGGGCTGGGGAGGGAGGCATATGGCTCCAAAGGGCTCAGAGGGTCTCACAAGAAGACAACATTTGAGCTCATGCTTGAAGGAAGTGGATGAGCCTGCCCTGTGGGCCCGGGTAGCAGCAATCCAGCAGAGAGCTGCTGGGTTCATAGGCCTGTGGGAGCAAGCGGCAGCTCCACTGCCTAGGGAACCCTTTTCTCCCAGGAACTGGAGAGTGTTACAGAAGCAGAGGACTCTTGTCTCTGCTGGGCCTGAAGCCCTCCTCCCGAGCCCTGGCCAGATGCATTTGGGAACTCGGAAGTTTTCAGAATGGAGAAGGCACATGGAGTACAGGCTGTGTGTCCATCACACACACCAGATCTGGGCAACACTCCATCCATCACTGCATGCATCCCCATGTCTGCAGTGACATGTAAATTGCACCAAAGAAGGACCCCATGGGGCCCTGTCAGGCAGAAGAGATGGAGCTTCTGTCTTGACTCTACCATCAGTCACTCAGCCTCTCTGAACTTGGGTTTTCTGATCTGAAAATGGGGCACGGTCTCTTCCTCACCAGGCTGTGGGGAGCAATACGAGCGGCTATATGTGACTGAGTACTGGAATATGTGAAGGTCTGAAAAAAAAGGAAGGCTTGATAATGGAGACACAGAAATGGCATGAAACTCATGCGAATTCAGTTAGACACCAGGAGAGAGAAAAGTAATCACTGAAATAGCAAAGGCCACTCTGCCCACCATGCACTGTGTGTATATGGACCCTGGCCCTGGGAGAGTGAGATTACAGACACAAACCAGAATCTGCAGTCTCTCTGGTGGCTCCATCCCCACGGCCTCACCTGGCTCAACCTGGGTAATTCTGTCTTTGACACAGAAAAAGTCTCCGAACATAACCTGCTTCGTCTGATGCTCCACCCAAAACATAAAATTTTAGTTGTTTTTTCCATCTTTGTTTCCTGGAATTCCTGACCCAGTTTCAAGTTAGACATGGCTCCACCCATGACATTTTGGTTTTTGTTATTCATTTTTGTCTCAGAAAAGTGGGGGTTTCTGACCTTCCAAGTCAGAGGATCATCATTTATAAAGAAAAGGGAATGTCTGATTTCCAAATCACACAAAAGCAGTCAGCCTGTTTCCTTGTCTGTGGAAGACGGGCAACAGACCTGCTCGTATGAGGCTTTGGGGAAGAAATAGAGTCTTTCATGAGAAACCCTCAGTCTGGGTTTTGCAGGGGCTTGTAGGAGTGCTACCAGTATTATTATTGTCAATAATGTCCCAGCCCCTCCCTGTGACCTTGATGCCTGATCCTAAGCCAGTCATACTCTTGCTTTGATCTCCCTGTAAACGCCAGGCAGGGCCTCTGAATGGGGGCAGGGGTTGGGGTACGATCTGCAGCCAGCTGTCCTGGGCTGAATTCTGCCTCTGCAGCATACTCACCACCATGCAAGGCCGCAGCCTCGTCACCTGCAAAGCGCATCCATCACACAGACCCACCAACACTCATCAGCAATTCCAAAACCCAGAAAACGGCTTGTAAATTCCGACGAGCACATTTGGTTCACAAATCTGAACCTGAACAAATGGGAGGCTATTTATGATCCTGCCATGTTCCACTTAGTGTGGTGATTTGTATGTTTCACTGCAGGTGACATCACATGTCTAAAGCCAGGGCTCTCCAGTTGCAGGAAGAAAGAAAGATGACATGGGGCAAACCAAAATGCAAAAGGCACAGGCTGTTGCCTGGGGTCCCTGATGATGCAGCTAGAGCGTTCTAGTTTTCAAAAACATCTGAATCTTGTTAAATTTTTAAAAGGAAGTTTTTTTTTTTTTTTTTTTAAGTTGACTGAAAAAATGTAAGCACCAAGCAGAACAAATAAAACTCATCCATGGTGGATGCAGGCTGTGGGATGCAGGACAGAGGGCCAAAGCGAGCATCATCCTAAATATCGGCTGGTGGGAGAGGATGAGGTGGTAGATGCTCCAGAGCTGCACTCAGGAATTCTGAGCCTCACCCAGATTTGTCAGAGCAGGCAGCCTCAAAATGATTACATTTCTACAAATGCAGTGACAAAGACAGGCTGGGGATAGGGAAGGCCTGCCGACTCTCTCTGGCTCAGTTCACACCCTAAATTGTGGAGGCTTGGGGAGTGGGTGGCAGGGAAAGGTCCTGGAGAGTTCTCTCATTCCTGCCCTGTCACTCTGGCTTGATGTTTCAGTGCTTCCTGTCCCTTGTGGGCTCAAGGATCTTAGAGCACAGCCTGGGCCACAGGCTGCAGGAGTTCCAGAAAGGGTGGAACAAGACTAAGATGGAACAGAGAAGGTTGTGGAGAGACTTAGCTCAGCCTGCAGTGTTCAGGGGTTGTTGGAGGTTGCCCTGACACCTGTGGGAAGCAGCTAAAAGAATGAAAACAGGTTGTGGTCAGTCAAAGCCTGAAAGCATCTCTGGAGAGGCAAAGAATAAGCACTCCGGGCCAGCCTCGCACCTCACCGGCCACCTCTGCCCTCCCTCTCCCAGACACTAAGATCTGGTAGGAACTAAAGGTCATAGAACAGAGAGGAAGGTGAAGGCTCATGGAACCTAACTTCATCATTTTACAGACGAGCGAACTGAGCCCAGAGAGGTTGAGTGAGTTGCTGACAGCACAGGGAAGGTCAAGGTTAAATCTTCCCGTGGCATGTTTTGTGGATTGAACAGAATCACCAGTTCATTTTCTCTGTTCAAGATCATATGCCCGGAGGAGTATGTGGGGATTGGCAAAACACGGCAGAGCATTGTAGGCTTCCCTCCAAAGGGAAGGGAGGCAGCTTGGCCCAGTGGGCAGAGCACAGCCTCTGTGCCACTAGCTCCTTCAACAACTTATCGACCCTCTTGGTTTCCTCATGTATTAAAACTAGATCAAAAATGGTAATACCTACTTCAGGCGTTGTGGTGAGGATTGAGAGAGGTAAGGTATAAAATGCCTAGACGAGCGAAAGCTAAGTGTTGCTGGTGATGGAGATGGCGATGAAGCTGATGATGACAACAGTGATGGAGATGGTGGTGGCAATGGCGATGGTGTTAGTGATGGTGGTGATGGTGATCGTGACAGATCCTCATCTGAGGATCAGACAGGCACCCAGAGGAGGCCACGCCCTGGAGTACACAGACACACTTTCTCAACAGAGCACTTTCTTTTTAGAGTTGTATTTGGTTCTCAGCTTCTTTGGTCTTTCCTGAGAATGTTCTCAGCAGTGCAATACAGGGCCCGTGCTATTGTCTGGGACACCCACAGTACAGTCAGGCTGAGTCCCTTCCCCAGGGGCTTCAGCGTCAGGTTGTGTTCATCTCTTCATCTTTGACCTTGGCATCTTGGAGGTGCAATTGGGTGGCTGAGAATTCAGGGCATCAGTTTCCAAGTCTGACTCACAGTTTGAATGCAGGTGCTACAACTTGCACCTGGATGAACACAACCCAACCCTGATCCACCTCAAATACCAAGTATGCAGCAGGTGAACAGTCATTGGTAGTTTCTGTTAATATCGAGTGTTGACATGATGACTTTAGGAATGTGAGGTTTCCAAGTGGGAAAGGGAGGTGGGGAACCCTATAGTGTGGTCCTCTGTGTTTTCCAGACAGGGAATTTTCCCACTGGAAATGCTCCCTGGAGACCTACAGTCTTGGCCATACCTTTCCCAGGCCTGGACCACCAAAGAATGGTAACCCCAACTCTGAGCTCTGAGCACTGAGCTCTGAGCCCAGGAAAGGGAGAAACTGGGCTGAGTCTCTCACAAAGAGAATTTCCTCTCAACATTGCTAGAATGGGGAGCCTGTACACATCCCATGCTATGAACAAGGAAGCCAAGTTTCACAGGGGGCTAAGACACTTGCTTTCTAGGTCCCCAGGCAGGAAGTGACAGAGCTGGCACTCAGATCCAGAGCACTGGATAATTATCAGTGCCTTAAAACTGGTCCTGTGTTGTAGAACAGCAAAGGACAGATCTAAGTGTCTGCTTTCCCTGTAGACACTTCAAACTGCCTTGGCCCTCACAACTTAGCCAAAGGAACGACTCTCTAAAGGTAAACTGCTTCAGCCCCTTGGGGAGCCAGGACAAGTGGTAAATAGGAGTGAGAGGTTAGGCTGACAGGTGAGGCAGGACAAAGAGCCTCCAGCCTCCTCTCTCATGGTGCTTGCTAGTTTCTACACCACATCCTCTCCTGAGGCTGCCCCACCCACTGCAATACATTAGATGATTGACAGCTGGACCATCCTTTCCCACCCAAGCCAGAGCTCCGGCCATTGCTCCAGACCTATCACAAGAATAACTATCTCTTTCCAAGCCCCACTATTCCTAGGACAACTGTGATGGGATCTTTCAAAGATCAGGGAGCTAACTTATCATAAAGCTGCAATGACTACAAGGAGTCCTGGCTTGGGAGATGGGCAGTGGAGGGTACACTTCACCCCTTAAAGTTCTACCACCAGCTTGAGCATACTCAGGCAAAAATGTCTTTTAAAACACTGCTGTTTTTCAAGAACCAGTGACATTTTCTTCCAAGCAATGGAAACACAGCTGCTTCCTATATGAAGTAGTCTCTCTGGCTTAAATGTTGTTCCCAGCTTCCAACAGAAAAGCAAGCCTGAGTCTGACAGATGGAATTAGGGTGTCTGCAACATGAGGAGGGGGCTCTGAGAACAAAGGAGCTCCTTCCCCATCCCAGCCCCACCTACATGACACCTCCTTTCCTAGAAACAGGTAAGTGGCCACTGTGCTCAGTCCAGTGCCCAAGTCTAGGCCACTTTTTCTCTGCTTCATAGTTAGACAGGGCTGTGAGGAGGTGAAACCCTCCAAAATGGTGTACACAACCCTTGGTTCACTGACCTGTGGTAGGATGGCAATGATGATGGCAGTGGTGATGGTGACAATGACAGTGGCAATAGTGATGATGGTGATGGTGGTGGTGGTGATGATGATGATGATGACGGCTCCTTCACCAGCTGGGGAGCCAAGCCACCTTGCCCATGGGCAAGTCCTTCCATCTGTTAGGGCTGTGATTTCTTCCACTAGAGCTGGGAGCTGTTACAGATAAGCTGCTGATGTTCTTATCCTGCCTTGGGAATACTAGAAAGGAGCAAATGTTGTGTTGAGTTCCCTTTCTGGCTCATTGCTCAGTTCCCTAGAACTCTGGGGTTAAACATTTTTGAGTGAAAGCTACACATGGGGCACTTTTACATTGCAATCCCGAACTCACAAAAAGCGATTCTCACCGCCCGGAAGTCTCACGGTGCATGCTGACAGTCTCTATTCTGTTCCCTTTCATTTTTAAGAAAATGATGGTTGTATTACTGCAAAGAGGGTAGTGTGAAGAATCCCTTAGGGCGATGGAACTGGTGTGTATCTTGATTAGGATGGAGGTCACACATATCAAATGTGTTAACATTCACAGAATCATGCACTAAAAAAAGATCAATTTCACTGCATATTCATTTAGAAAGCAAAGCTTTTTTTAAAGAGAAAAATTGATGGTCACAATCCACTAAATTGATTTCATGATCTCTTAGAAATTTCAAACTGTGGAATGAAAATCCCTGCACCAAAACCCCATGACAGTGCGGTAAGGGGTCAGCCAGGGCCACTGCTCAAGCTGTAGGTGGGTTGAGTGGGGAGAAGGGGGATCATGAGGCTTCACATCTTGACCTTCCTCTCTCTCCTTTCCACAGTCACTTCCTGCCTCGGGTCCAGTTTGGGCAGCCCAGGTAAGGAACAGCCACGTGAAGGGAGGCCTGGGGCAGGGCAAGAGCTGGAGGGGGACCTGCTGATGAAGAAGCTGTCACCTCCACCAAAATGAACCCCACCTCATGCTGAGACACCCCCACGTCCACAGATGTGCGCATGGAAGATGCCCATATGCAGGTGGCAGCCCTTGATGGTCATAAAACACCACACAAATGTTAGTTCTCATGATGATTATTATGACCCCCTTTCCATATGCAAAAGACACACTGGCCTATAAATGCACCTTACAGCTGGGTGCCAGTGGCTCACACCTGTAATCCTAGCTACTCAGGAGGCAGAGATCAAGAGATCACCGTTCGAAGCCAGCACCAGGCAAATAGTGCATGAGACCTTATCCCAAAAATACCCAACACAAAAAAGGGCTGATGGAGTGGCTCAAGTGGTAGAGTGCCTGCCTAGTAAGCTTAAGTCCCTAAGTTCAAGCCCCAGTACCATCAAAAGAAATTAAAATTAAAACAAAATTAATGCATCTTACAAAGTCCTGTTTCCTAGCAGGGGCCTTTGCCTTCCACGATCAAACACATTTGCAGCTAGGCTGCAGAGAAAGGTGAGCCAGGTTGCAAAGTACGTTCAGTGCCTAGACTTGGAGGTTGGACTTTAAGCCTAAGGCCAGAGTTTCCCAAACAGGGTTCCATGGAACATGTTGGGCAAAGGGTGAGGAGCAACACTGCGTTACCCACTGGAGATTGCCAGTGCACAATGGTTCAGTGAAGGCTCTGAGAAGTCCTGCAGCTAAGAAACATGTTAAATATTTTTAACTCAGCATTTAACCTTTTCAACTCATTTCACCACAGACTACTTTTTCACATTTCCTAGAATAACATTGTACTGAGTTTATTTGGGAAGAAATAAGGCTGGAAGGTCCTGCCGACACCCGGCAGACCCTGGGCCAGGATCCAGACTCCATGCTGTCATCCTAGCTCTGAGCTCTAGCAAGTTGCTTGCTCTCTGAATCCCCACCAGTGAAATGGGGAAAAAACCTCTCTCCTGGAGAGCAGTCAGTGAGTTGCTTGCTGGGCACAAACCCCACAGAGCCTTCTGAGAATGAAAGGTCGTGGGCGTAACCTGTTTTGCATCTAATTAGCCTGTGACTGTGACCATGACTGTGGCAAGCCCCTGCCCTGACCTCTAGGCCCACACGTTTTCCTTGGCAGGATAAACAAGGCAGCCTGATCAGTGGCTCCCAGCCAGGAAAAACCTCCACCCCAGAATCCCCTAGAAAAGCCTTACACATTTTAAAAATTGTCTTGAATAAGCAATACATTTGCCAGACTCAAAGATTTAAATGAAAGATCGGCCGGCAGTGAAGAGTCTCACTTCCACCTGTGTCCCCCATCTGTCCAGTTCCTCCCACTCCCATACCTCAGGCAGCTCCTTCCAGAAGCTCTTATGCAAATACACCCATACACATACAGTCAGCACTCTCTATCTGTGGATTCAACCAAGTGCAGATCAAAAATGTAGGAGGCCTGTGATGATTACCTCTGGACATTTACAGACTTTTTTTCTTGCTATCATTACTAAACCATGCAGTATAACAGCCATCTGCACAGCACTTACATTGTGTTAAGATGATAAATAATACAGAGATGATTTAAAGCATATGGGGCATGATGTGTGTAGGTTATATGCAAATACAGTGCCATTTTATTTTGTTATTTTGCAGTGCTAGGAATGGAACCCAGGCCCTTGTATATGCTAGGCTCTCACTTTACCACTGAGCTACATCCCTGCTCCTATACCATTTTATATAAGAAACTTGAGCATCCATGGATTTTGGTACCATGGAAGGTTCTAGAACCAATCCCCCACAGATACTGACGAGCCACTGGACGTCTACCCCCATGGAGCTTTACAAAATCACAAAAGCCACATACCTGCCTATGACCTACCAATGCTGCTTTTAGGTATTCACTCAAGAGAAACGGAAATAGAGGCCCACACAAAGAGTGTGCATGGGTACTTACAGCAGTTTGAATCATAGCAGGCAAAACCTAGAAATAGCCCAACTAGTATGTGGAAAACAAGTGTGGCAAATCCATACAGTGAAATATTACTTGGCAATAAAAAGAAATTATATAAGCTGCCATGTGAATAAGTCTCAAAGACATAAATACACGTGGAGTGAAAAAAGCCAGACCAAAAAAAAAAAAAACCTTGCTCTGTGATTCTATTTAATTATACGACATTGTAGAACAGGCAAAACTAATCTCTCGTGACAGAATCACATCAGTGGCTGCCTGAGGCTGGATTCGGGGAATTAACTGTCGAGCAGCATGCAGGAAATTTCTGGGTGACACTTTCTGTTTCTACGTTATGGTGGTGGCTGTGTGCTTGTATACACTTGTCAACCCTCTAAATGAGTGCGTTTCACTGTATGAAAATTGTACCTCCATAAAATAGATTTTAAAAAGTTAAAACAAAAACATGTCAGGCCCCATCTCAGACTGAACAGAATTTCCAGGAATGGGAAGATTCTGCTGGAAGGAGGTGCTGGGAACATCTACTCCGATTTCCCCAGCTTCAGAGCCAACTGAGTGCCACAGCCTGAGTTTCTAGAGTCCCTGCCATGCCCCAAAAGGCAGGCTGGATGTGAGGACTCAGGCAGGGAGGGAGCAGTGGGACTCTGAGGAGAGCCCTCCCTCCCTGGACCCCCTCATCTGACCCCTTCATCTACCTCTTTGTCCAGATTTACAGGTGAGGCTAACTGGCTCCCACTCAAAGTGCCAGGGCAAGCTGGAGATCTTTACTAGGCACTTGTGGCACACTGTGTGCAGCTGGAGCTGGGGCCAGAGCCTGGAGCACCAGGAAGGATCACGGCAGGCTACTCTTCAGGCCAGCAAAGTCTGCCAGCGGCTGCACTGTGGGGATGTCTTCATCCTGGTCGCTTCCTCTCAATTCAACAGAACCCAGAACCAGATCATCTGCCATGGAACCCTAGGGTCCTTCTCCAACTGCAGCATATATTCACCAGCCCAGTGTCCCCCAATGAGTTTGATCTGCCTAGGTGGGTGACGATGCCTGTTGGGATCTGTGATCTGGGGCCTGAGCAGTCAGGTGGAACAGAATGGGCTCCCAGATTAGAGGGGGACTGGCAGGGGAAGGCCAAGAAGACACTAGCACCTATCTGATAGGATGGAAAAACAGGACTTTGTTCTGCCAAATGCCAACTTCAGTGTCCCCCTGGCAGTTCCATTTTTTTGTCTGTGAAGTGCAGACTCCTGCCTCACAGCAGGCTGGGAGACACTGTGAGGGTCACGTGGGGCTTCTTTGGCAGGGCTCCAAGTCTTACTGTTGTTACTGCTGCCCCCCCATACCCTCATTTTTTCCTTCTCCCCTCCCCTTGCTCCCTCCTTATCCCACCCCCTCCTCACCAGAGCATTTCATTGCAGAGCCTCCAAGAACAACACCTCTACCCACAAGCCCCCCACCCACAACCATGCCAGAACCCACAGGTAAGAGGGCTCTGAGGTCTTGTGGGGACCAAAGGAGGGAAGGGACAGATCTATCAAAGAAAACTCCCAGAGGCCCAGCTGCATTCGAATCCCAGTGGAAATTTCTAGGGTGTCAGTCATATGCCCTGTTTGGGACTCACCACCTCCCAAACATCAGCATTTACCTGTTGGGGCCAAACAGCAAGGAGTGCTAGTAGGCATCAGCACTCAGGTCTGCCCCTTCCTGCTCCCTCCAGCTCCCCCTAGGTTGCAGCTGGTGGCAGGGCCAGGGGGACTACGGTGTGCTGGCGTGGTGGAGTTCTACAGTGGCAGTCTGGGAGGCACCGTCCTCTATGAGGGCCAGGACAGACCCCAGGACCTGGAGAACCTCATCTGCAGTGCCCTCCAGTGTGGCTCCTTCTTGAAGCATCTGCCACAGACTGAAGCAGCCAGAGCACCAGGCCCACCAGAGCCAACAGGCGGAACAGACAGTGCTGGTGTGGTGGAGGGGAGGAGCCCATTGCCAATTCGATGGAAGATCCAGGACTCCAGCTGTGCCTCCCTACCACAATGCTTCAGGAAAACCCAGCCCCAGGAGGGTGGCCAGGAACTTGCCCTTGTCTGCTCAGGTCAGTGGGATTGGGCTATGCCCCATGGGGCCTCCTGCTTCCCTAGGGCTGGTCATGGTCAGATGGTTGGAAGTACAGCACACAATCCTTGAGAGGCCCTATAGAAAAATCCAAGGGATGTCAAGGCCTGAGCCTTGCCCTCTAAGAAGTAGAATAGGATATGGTGGGAAGGATTCACATTCAGTGCCTTGGGAATCTGCACAGTGACACTGACCCAGCCCAGAGGAATGGCTTGCCCAGCTGCCACATGAGCAAGTGGAGAAAGGCAGGGTCTCCCCACAAGTCTGGTGTAGCAAAGGGGAGAAGGCTGAGGCTTGGGCAAAAGCAGAGAGCATTTGGAGGGCCCAGTCTTGCAGGTGGGGAGTGTGCAAGTCCTCAGAGACCAGGTTGAGGGATGCTGAAGGGCAGGAGGTCCCTAAGGCCTGGGCATCAGAGCCTATCTGCAAAGGGCAAAACCAGAGTCACCCCACCGAGGAAGGCAGTCTGCCCAGGGCCTGAGTGGTACTGTGTGGTTGAGGGGAGGAGAGAGAGGGAAGCTGAGACTGTGGGACCCTCAGGGGCCAAACAAGGACCAGTGGATGAAATTGAAGAGACTCAGCATGGCATTCCTAGGGAGGTGATGGGTCCCTGTCACCAGAAGTGTCTGAGTAGACTGGACTTTATTCACGAACATCTACCTGGCATGGGAACCACTGAGAGGCATTCTTTAATTTTCACAGCCACCTTAAGGGGGAAGCTAGTACCATTCCCATTTTATGGATGAGGAAGCTGAGGCTCAGAGATGTTCAGTTTCCCAGATATCACAGAGTGTTAGCTGGGATTTCCCCTCAATCAGTGTCAATCCAGGACCTGCTATCTAAGCCTTGGCTACCCAAAGTGCAGTCTCTGGCTGGCAGCAACAGCATCACCTAGGAGCTGGTTAGAAACAAAGTCCTGCCCCCCTCCCCAGACTCCTAATCTGAGTCTGGTTTCAGAGTGATCCCTGTGATTCCTGTTCAAATGTAGGAAGCATGGCTCTGGACCACTAGGATTGGTGAAACACTGCCCCTTCCAGGCAGAAGCAGCTCCCCAGGGTCTTGGCCTGATGAGGAGGCTTGGGCTGACTCCCTTCAGCTAGGAGCCCTTGCTCAGGCTACTGCCTGCAAAACCATATGCAGGGTCTTGCCTTTGAAGTTTCTTGTAAATAGAAGATTCACTAGGACTTTGAAGATGAGTGTTGTTGCCATGGAAACAGGCCAAAGCTGGTGAGATCACAACTCTGTCTGAACTGAGTATATAGCAGCCTCTGCTATGGACTCCCAGGCTCCATCCTAATGAGCAGAAATGAGCAGCTAAAAGTCTGGCTCTCAGGACACAGGACCTGGGCAGCAGAATTCCTGGGTTCAGTCCTACCCATGAAGTGCCAGGACTTGGAGCATGTCTTCCCCATCCTGGGCCTGTTTTCCCCCGCCCCCCAAAAGCCCTCTCTCTTCCCAAGGAGCAGCAAGAGAATGAGAGGGTGTTTCTAAGAGGAAAGTGGGCCAGGGTAGAGCTAATTTCCTATGCTCTTTTCTTACCTCCACCTGGCATGGGCGCTGACTTGCTGCCCAATAGGCACTGCCACCCTGCCAGCTTCTTTCTGAAAGGGCTGATGCATCTCGATATGGCTGGCAGCAACTGCCCAGAGGCCCTGGGGACACAGCTTGCCCAGGGAAGTACCAGAGGGGATGTCAGAAGGAGGAATGCTGGAGGCCCCCAAGGTGCCTCCTGGCATGCAGGCTCCTGCCAAGTCTGCCACCTCATCTATTGCTTCTCCTCCCCAGGTTTCCAGCCCAAGGTGCAGAGCCGCCTGGTGGGGGGCAGCGGTGTGTGTGAGGGTACTGTGGAGGTACGCCAGGGCACGCGGTGGGCAGCCCTGTGTGACAGCCCTGTGGCCAGAGGCCAAGGACGGTGGGAGGAGCTGTGCCAGGAGCAGCAGTGTGGCCGCTTCATCAGCTTTCACATGCTCGATGCCAGTGGGACCTCCCGAGGGCTCACCTGTCCCCAGGAGAAGCTTTCCCGATGCTACGCGCTTCAGGAGAAAAAAGCCTTCTGCAGGAGGGTGTTCATCACATGTGAGTTACTGCAGCCCACAGTGGGCAGAGGGCAGCTCTGGACATGCCTTCTGGGAACTGATCAGTGAGCATGTCTCTGAAGGACAGGCCCCAGGAGGTAGACAGAGTATTCTAGAGCCCAGGAAAAGGATGGCAAATAGGGATCGGGGAGCAAGAGTGCTTACTTAGACAGCAATGAGCGTGAAAAATAGAGAGGAGATGGGGTAAGTCCACAGGCAGATTACGCAGGCAGCCTGCTCTCCCAGGGTAGAAGCTAGACAATCAGGGGGTGGGTGGTACATATTTGCTACATGAACAGTAATTGAATAATGAATAAAAGAGAGGTGATGGATCAGTGGATGGGTGGGTGGGTGGATAGATGGCAGGATGGATGATGGACAGATGGATGGGTGGATGGATGGATGGATAGTTAGAGGGCTGACTGGCTATTGTAGTCATTTGTGGGTACCTGATGGTAGACGATGAAAAGTTAATCACCTGTAAGTAGCAAATGGCAGAAGCTATTCATTGATAACAAGAGCGGAAAATGATACCTGATTAACTATAGATGACAAATGACAGTAGATGAATGGGTTGCAGAGATTCCTAAAGATGGACAAAGGTACAGTCAAGTAGATAATTCCCTTCTGCATATGCTGGTGGATTTGTGAGAGGAGCAGGGGTGCTGGGGAAATCAGGCTGCAGCAGTTGTCCTCTGAGAGGACAGCTTTCATACCCTCAGGTCTGGGACTGATCAATGCCCTCCCCTTGCCCAGGCCAAGATCCAAACCCAGTAGGCCCGGCCGCAGGCACAGTGGCAAGCATCATCCTGGCCCTGGTGCTCCTGGCAGTGCTCCTGGTTGTGTGTGGCCCTCTTGCCTACAAGAAGCTGGTGAAGAAATGTGGGTACCAGTACCTGAGCCACCTCCCTCTCACCACCCAGTCTCTCCCTCCTGCCCACTGACCCTTTTCTGCCCAGAGTAATGGAAAGTCAAGAAAATCATGCCCTCCTTCACCCACGCCTGAGTCCAACTGAGGCCCACTACAAGCCAGATAAAGGCCATAGCCATTCTTTGGATTGCAGAGGCCCAGAGCTAGGACATCAGCATAGCCTCTGACAGTAGGAGACACGTGACCCAGTCCAAGCTCCATCATATGTCAGCTGCTGTAACACTGACCACCTCCCTCTGAGCCTCAGTTTCCCCATCTACAAAATGGGTAGCTGCATACCTTATAAATGCAGAGGGTTGTCAGCCTGGCCTTGGAGAACTCAGGAGAAAATTACTCGGAGGCAAGGAAGGGAGATCAGGGATGCTGAGAATGCACGTGGGCCGTGCTGGGTCCCAAATGCCTGCCTAGGTCTGATCTGATCCTAAACACCTCTAGTTGTGTCTCTGGGAAATCAGCCCCCTCCACACCATCCATGGCACTCTCCTCTGGCATCTAATGGTTCCGTTTTTCCTCCCTAGCCAGTTGGAAAGCTGAGGCCTGAGAGACTAGAGGGCTAGAACCCAGCACCCTACCTTCAGGGCACCTGTACCTCCTCTCCCCCTTCCTCCCTCCCTTCCTCAGTCCTGCCTCTCCTCCCCAGCCTCATGTGCTTCCTATCTGTCTTCCAGTTCGCCAGAAGAAGCAGCGCCAGTGGATCGGCCCCACGGGAATGAACCAGAATGGTAAGTGTCCCCAGATGTGCCCCGACCCCAACCACCGCCTCAGCCACCAGAGTCAAGATCTCTGAGCAGTGGCTGCTGGAGGCTTCTGATCTCTACCACACTCTGCAAAGGTGTGATTGTGGCTAAGAGATGTCCCCACACCAGGAGGCCCGAGGCTTCTTCATGGGTCAGATGGCTCAGTGATTTTTGCTTCTGAAGCCTCAGGCACAATGGTGTCCCCTTTGTCTTTTTCACTGTCTCTGAAATGATTTGACCAGGGGACCACACATCCTTTGCCTCCCTGGGCAGCATGCCCCAACACAGGACCAAGGATGCTGACAGGCAGGACTCACAAAAGAGTACCCCACAATCAAACAGATATGGAAAACTCTGAATTAAGCAAACCTAATGGGTCTTCATTTCAGGACTTACCAGATCCTTCACAGACATTTTTGCATCATTTATCTCCAAAGCAGAGAGACACTGAGAAGAGTTGTCCAAGCTAGTTTTATCATGGGACAACTTCAAAGGACCAGTTTCAGAACACTGACACAGCCAGCCCTACCCCTCCCCTCTCTCCTTTCAGCCACAGTCAGAGCCACCCTAATAAATAGAAACATGGCACCCTCCTACCTCCCATTCCAGTCTTCTCTCCTTTACAAGTCCAAGGCCAAATCCTTAGAGAAGGCCCTGTGTTGTCTAGTCCTTTAAAAACAAAATTATATAAAACCCCTCAACAGCTGGATGGCAAGGAATATATCTTCCTATCACTTGTGCTCCAAGCCCCTGGTGAGTAAATACTTGATGACTGACTGACTGACCCACTGAAGGCCTCACCTCACCAGTTTGCTGGCCAACCTCCAGCTGCTCCAAAAGTCTGCAGACAACCCTGCTACCAAGAACCACCCCAGGGAAAAAGGATAGACAGAGAGATGTCCTGAAAGGGCTATGGGTACCCTCCCTGGTCCTCCCCCATGACCTAATAGAAACAGGAAGTTAAGCTCTGGGCACCTGCTGGGGATGGAAGAGGACAGAGCAGCAAGTCTAAGTTTGACACTATCTCCTTCATCTGCTCAGTGTCTTTCCATCGCAACCACACGGCAACTGTGAGGTCCCAAGTTGAGAACTCCGCAGCCTCCCACGTGGACAATGAATACAGCCAGCCCCCCAGGAACTCCCACCTGTCTGCTTATCCAGGTGAGCGGCAGGGGGCTGCTCCAGGCAACAGAGGCGGGTGGATCTGCTGAGACAGACCACGTGATAACCTTGAAGCTCTTACGGCTGTCCGAATACAGAAGGGGGGATTCAGGGGGTAGGAGATCAAACTGCCCATTTGACAGCACATCCCAGCAGGCTTCACAGGCTTCATGGCCCCTTTGAGACTTTGAACCACTCATCTACAGAGAAGAATGCGCTTGGATGGATGCCATTAACCCCAGCCTTGCTGCGACCTAATGGGCCTGTTTCTCTGCAGCTCCTTGAGGGGTTGGATGGTAATTGAGGCTCCTTGGATTCCTTTGGGCCAGAGGAGAGCTACTAAATGGCTGTAGGAGCCCTGTACACAAGGCTCCCATGCTGGCACTAACAATTAAGCCCCAGGAGCCTGAAGCTCAGCATCATTAGTGAATGCTTGGCTGATTTGATCAAAACGGATCCAGGTCTGTCACTAAAGCTCCTGTGATCTTCCAACGTACTCAGCTCCAAGGGCTCTGTGTAGCTTCAAGCCTTGTGTCTTTCCCCAGCTCTGGAAGGGGCCCTGCATCGTGTCTCCACCCAGCCTGACAACTCCTCGGACAGCGACTATGATCTGCATGTGGCTCAGAGGCTGTAAAAAGGTGAGCCTGTGTCTGCCTGGCACCTAGCACCCCGGACCCCCCAGCCCTAGGGCTGGCACCAGCCACACAGTTCTTGACCTGGTCCCCATCCACCCATATACAAACAAGTTCCCTGAGCCTTATGATTCCTATAAAGGGAAAGAATGTGCATGGGCAATTCAGGTGGTAGACTCCACTGGGCAACTTACAGGGGACCATCGATCTTAAAGCTATCTTGTAAATTACATCTCAAAAGACCATTCAAAAAGACCCCTAAGGGTCTGTGACAGAATCACGCCCCTTCAGAACCACCAAGCCTCTCCAGTAGGAAGGAGAGGTTCCTGGCACAACTGTCCCCAGACTGAGACCAGGGCGGGACCAGTCCCACCTCTGTAGTCAGCATTCCTCCTGACATGTGTCCTTCTCACTCCCCAGAACTGGGAACCAGAAACAAAAAAGCAAGAACTTTTCCTGAGGAAGCTCTGCCTTTGCCACTTGGAAGCGATGTTCCTATTTCTACCCTCATCCAGAACTTGGACAGAGACCAGGGTCCTTTCACACATCCTGTGCCCTGCAGTGTAAGTGGCTGTTACATTCCCCAACTTCCGGGTCATAAAGGCCCCTCCAAGTATGGATACTGTGAAAGGAAGAGCCCAGACACAAGCAGCTGTTCCAAGCAGAGGTGGCCAGGGGGGGGTCCCTTTTTATTTTTAAACTCTGGGCAGCCCCCTTCCTGTCTGTTCAGGAGCAGCCTCAAGTGAATTTGGCTTTCTCCTTGACTCTGACCCCAGTGAGGAGTGACAAGGAGGCACACACCTGCATTGGAGATTATTTCTCCTGTGTATTTTAAATATGTTCTTTGTAAATAATGCCTTTTCTACTTCCCAAGAATTTGTGTGCTCTGGCCTAGTCTGTACAGGTTCCACCCCTGTGGTCCCCTCTGGGGATGCCCAAAGAAGGGAAACCTGCCAGGGAGCATCTGCCATCATCCTAGTCAAAGAGCTGCACCCAAAAGCTCAAGACAGCGCAGCATCAGCCAGCCAGAGAGGAGTGGGCCATCAGGTTCACTGTCCCCCCTCTTCCATCTAGAACCCCTACATCCCTCTTCCAAAAACAACTTTCTCTCCAGACAGTGGGGCCCAGTGAGTGTCAAGGGCACCTATACAACCCTAGGGCTTTGCAAAGAAGCACCCCACAAATCCTAGCCGATTAAGCTTTGTGTTCCCCATAACTGCCAGAAGTCCCAAGCTATGGTGGATTTAGCCAATTGCAGCCAACCATCCAACCCAAGAACCAGAGAATGGGAGTGGGTATGCTCCTCAGGCTTAAATAATCCCCTCGACTAAGTCTCCTCAAGTACTCAGAGGTCAGAGACATAGAGCTAAGCCCTGAGGTGCCTCAGTTTCCCTAACTATGAGCGAGAGGATGGTATCTAACCAGGAACCCCAAGTCCAACATAAGGACAGGCTGTGCTGTGCTGCTAAAAAGTCAGGTGGCTCCCTAAGAAAACAAAGTGGCGTGAGTAGGTGACACATCTTGGGTTGGAGCCTCTCTCCACACAATTTGGCGCTGTAGCTCCTGACCCAAGCCATGGCAGCCAATTCTAGAAGAGAAGAGTCACAAGATGTGTGTGTGGGGGGGAGGGATGCTCACAGAATCAGGCAGCCGGTTGGCACCAGCATTCCAGAAGGGTCTGGGCAGCACCGTGTCCCTCAACACCCTCTACTGGGTCTCAGTTCTGACAGCCCAGATGGCTGAGCCCAAGTCGCCAATCTGTCCCCAACCATGCTGGAAATCCAGAAACAGATTAGCCATGTGACTCCCCATCACTGGTAGGGTAAGGGGATTCCCCAAAGGGAGTCACAAGGCTGTTGTGGAGGGAGAAACAAGGATCTGAGGAGCCAGTGTCTCCCATCAGCTTTTACCTGATAAAAGCTCTTTCTACTTTGGCTCCCACACAGTGGTCTTAAAACCACCCTGGCCTACTTAAAGACAACCCCAAACACTCAGAGTATAGTTTAGGAGAAGTCTTTAGGAAACTACTTCTGTGTGATGTGGGCCCAGATGATGCATCCAGCAAGCCCTGCTTGGCTACAAAACTGAGCGGGAATTACATCAGCTTTAAGGCTTTTGCCAAGTTTCTAGCCTTGGCTGGTGGACCAGACCCTCAGGCTACCCAGCAGGTACTGCTCCTCCACTGGATGACTCATGCATCTCCCTCAGTTATTGAGAATGCCCCTTTGTGACCTGGGCAAGTAGAGTGTCACCATTCCGCATCACCATAGCCTGTTGGAGCAGAGCAAGAACTTCCCCTTCCACTCCCCTGTCCCCCATACCAATCCACTTCCCAAAACATTACTGGACACTCCTTGGAGGCATTTGTGTGCAACTCCTGATTATAGTACATTCTTTTCAAGATAAGTGAAGGAAGCCAAGAGCCCAAAAGGAAAGTTCCTGGAGACACCCTCAAAGTTGCTTTGCACCCAGGGATGGGGGTATAGATGGAGCTGACCTGACAGCTGGAAGGACAGCAGTGTCTTCAATAAGCTAGGGATCTCTTCAGGCTCACAACTGTGCACGTGGCATCTGTCCCTAAGTGCCTGGCTCTGTAGCAAGAGGCCCACAACTGTCTGACAAAAGATACCAGTGACTTCACAAGACATGGGGAATGAGGCCTGAGCAGTGTGTGCTACCATCTCAGGTGTGTGGCCCAGGGAAGAGGGAGAAGGGTAGCAGGTGTATCACACTGAGTGACAGAACTCATGACAGTCCTTTCTTAGAAAGCTGGCTCCTGATGTCTCTGCCCCTGCTCTAGCCAACCCAATGCAGGTGACTTGATTGTGCTGCCAGTCAGAGTGAAGTGCGCAGCTTGTTACTACAGAGCCAAGCTGTCCTGTCCTCAGCCTTGAACTCTTGTACCACAAGCCCAGAGTACAGCTGGGAGCAAAGAGCAGCAAATGCTGGACCAGAGCCAGGGACTTTCACTGTATCCTAGGGACAACTTTGGCACCACAAAGACACAACAGAGGAGCCCTGCAGCCTCTGGAATCCTATATGCTGAGCCTGAAACTCACCTCCACCCCCAGGCTGTGCAATTCAGTTCCTGTAACAGCCCACTACAGTCTCTTTCTCACTTAAAATTGGGCTAACAGGGCTTAAGAGGACTCAGGCAGAGAACACATGAGGGCATCAGGATGGGCAGCCCTGTTAGTATGTCTTGTTGGTGACTTTGAGCACCACTGTGCATCCTCCACAGGTACCTTGTCCTTGTTGGCTTGCCAGAAGGAAAGGCAGAAAGGTTGACTTGTAGGATCATCAGAAATCCTGTCTTTTCTGTCGCCTCCCACACTTCCTCGAAGCTGCCAGCCCTTCTGACAGCAAATGTCCTCCCATGCCTGGTGATAAGCAGCTCAGCAGAAGCACTGGGGGGACACTGGGCAGGGAGCAGCCTGGTCCATGACAGGGTGGTTGGTTCCACATCCAGTTTAGAAATTCGATAGGCCAAAGCTAGGCTGACAGACATCCTGCCAGCCCAGCAGGTGGCAGAAACAAGTGCTTTCCAGTCTGAGCTGAGGCTCGGGTGCCCCCTGGTGGGATCCTGTGGCCCTGCATGACACAGCTCCAGCCCAGGACAAGGCTCCAGCAAGAAAATAGCTAAGGAAAATCAAAAGCAGGGGCAGAAAAGGAAATGCCAGAAAATCCAGGCCCAAGGTGAAGGAGCAAGGGAGGGCAACAGACTACGTCTAGGGAGAAGCTGCCCTGCTGATAGGAATCAGGCCTTCTAGTACAGCATGATTCTGAAGACTGCAAGAAGCCCAGGACCCCACAAATAACCCACTGGAGCCACAACGAGACACGTAACTCATCCAAGTTTATTACGGCAATTAATTACACAAACATACAGGCAATTGTTCATTTACTTTAGAAGCACTCGCGCAGACTCTGTTAGTGAATTCTCTTTATAAATAACTTAGAAGCAAGCACAGTTGGTAAGGAACCGACGGCCGCTCATTTAGCATCAGACACACGACTGACGGTGCATGGGCTGGGGAGGGGGCAGGCACCAGGAGGTCAGGTTCCTCCTTGGCCCCCAGCAGCCCCAGGCCTAACCAGAGGCTGGGTACTAGGGTGGTGGCCGTTTAAAGGCACGTACGACTTCCTAACCTGTAGCAGCTTCAGGATCTGCCCTGAGACCTGGTTCACATCAGGAACCAAGCTGACGCTTTACCTATCACACCCCTTTTGGCCTAGTGTGGTCATTTTTATTACTGAATATGCCTACAACCCCACAAGGTGCTGGGGCTGCATGTGACAGAGTCACAGGCTCTGCCCTTTACATTCTGAAGACGAGGAGGTGCAGAGACACTGACCCCTGTAGTGATGGTGTTCAGAAAGCACCATTTGGGAAGTCACCATGAAAGTGTCTCTTGACATCTGTCTTGCAGGGACATTGAGGGTATAGGAGAATTACATGGGGGGGAGAAGGGCGGAGGGGGATGCTTACAAATGAGATTCAAGGCACTAAGGAATGGATGGACATGAACCTCAGAAAATGCCAACCAGAAGTGGGGGGTCCAAGGACAGAAGGGTGGCTGGGAGGCAACCTGGGCCCTCTGCTCCAGCCAGGGGCCCAGGGTAACCCCTAGGTTCTCTATCCCATGCAAGTGAGGCCTGGCATCAGCCTTCACACTCCCAGCCCTCCTGCTGTCATTTAAACTAGCACACAGGACAGATGGTGTGACAGCGACCTATCAGAGTTAAGTTATGGCTTTACAGGACTTAAAGTCACTAAATTCCTAACTCTTGTTCTCTCCCTCCAACCCAACATTGGCCATGGTATGCAGGGAGACCATTCCTGACTATTATCCCTTAGCATGGGGCCCACATCAAGTATACAAATCCAGGAGGCAAGAACGGCAGAGGCTGGAAACACAGGCCATCATCATGATCGGCATGCACTGGGTTCAGATGTCCTTGGGAGCAGGCACAATAGATGTTTCACCTGTGTACACTTGCTCAACAGGCACCAGACAGGCCTCAGTCTCCACTTAGCCAGCACAGGAAGAATTGCAGTGAGTCCTTAGAAGGGGAGTCACCAAGAGGACCTGGCTGGCCTTCCAGACAGGAAGGTGGCTAGGAGCATCTGCCACCTCCAACCAGTCACCCTGCTCAGGGCTTTTCAGGGCCTGCACGCTCCTGGCCAGGTGCTCCAAAGGCCTCTGTGGGCCAACACAAATCCCAGGAGCAAGACTCCACTTCCAATGGAACCTCGATCTCAGTGAATGGGTGGCCAGAGGCTGTGGCACAGGTGGAAGGAGGGAGAGACCAAAGCCAGGAAGGACGAATACCCAGGCCAGGCAGGCCCAGGAGGTGGTGGAGCCATAGGGGGGAGTGGGCCAGGAGGATATGGGGTGGGGGGCAACGAGGGTTGGCTGCCCTGGGAGCCTGGAAGCTGGGGCTGCATTGGGTAAGGAGGTTTTCCTCCTGTTGGGAGGTAGGGGACTGCTGGGGATAACCAGGACTGGGGGCCCGGCCCCCCCACCAAGGGGTACCCGGGGCCAGAGGTGCTAGTTGGGGAAGAATACCGGACGGGGTGGCATGCTCCTCTGTGGGGACCATGAGTAACCCGCAAGCAGCCTGGTCCTGGCTGGCTGACGGGTAAGGGACCGGAGGCCACTGTAGGGGGAGGGTGGGCCACCACAGGGAAAGGGGCTGGCTGCAGGGCTCCTTGGGCTGTGGGGCCAATGGGCAGGCTAGGTGACGGGCTGTAGGCAAAGAGTAGGGAGGTACAATGGCTGGCTTGGAGGTTGTTCTTCAGCAAAGGGGGCGTTGCCTGGGGGGCAGGGCGGGGGGGCGGGGGTGGTGGGCGAGTGGAGGGGCATCACCCACTAGCTCCTGGGAAGCTCGGGGCCTCCTCACCACATCCTGAGAGCTTTCACACGGACCCCGCGGCAAGTGAGACAGCGTCCTCATGGACGAAAAGGCCTCCAGAAATGTTTCCAAGGGCACCTCACCCTCCAGGAACTTCTCAGCCATGGCTGGAAGACACAAGCCGATGACAACAGATGTCTGCTTGGACAGGGGCCTCCTGCTCACCCCCAAGTCAGAGTTCCATTGCAGCAACTTGGCCCACCTTACACAACCCCACTTCCCTGGCCCCCATCCTGAATTCTTTATGGCCCTTTGGGCTGACATCTCATACATGCACCTGTTTGTTCATCCTGTCTCCCTACTAAACACCACTTTAAGGGCAAGGACTATATTGGTCATTGTCACCCTGGCCTCTTGCCCTGAAATTGTGACAGGTCCAGTGGCTGCAAGTGTGCTCAACAGCTGGAGGAAGGCTAGCAACTGAGTTGCTAGTGTGGGCGGGAGGTCCTAAAGCTACTCTCCAGAGGCAGCGAGGCTTTCCACAGAACTGAAGGACGCCGGAGGGGACGAAGAGTGGAGCGCAGAGAAGTGGCCTGGTTTAGCCTCTGGGGGTTTCCTTGCAGTGCCACTTCCATCAAGTTTGAAAGCTGTCCAGGGCTGCCAGTCACCCATTCCTTGATCTAGCGGGCTGGGTTTCCGGTACTATATATCCCCATCATCCACAGTTCCACTTACAAAGGTTCTATGGTCGATTAAACTATTAAATGAAAATGCTAGAAAT